CCCTCCACTGCACGACCCAAACCCTATCTCTGCCTCCCCTCCCTCTCGACATTCACCTTCACGGGCTTCAAGCCTTCACCACCATCAATCTCTGCCGTTGCTTGTCTTTATTTGGAACTAAACTTATATAATTTGGTTGTTTTATGTATCTTGTTGACATTTACTATTTTGGTATTGTTAGAGTATATAGATTAGTATATTTTATATTCTTGTATTAATATTAATTTATCATTTACCTTATCCTTATAGGATTAGGACAACCTTGTATATTTGTCTATATATATAGACTTTAATAATGAGAATACATTACATTGGATTGGATTCTCTCCAACCTTAGTCTCTACATGGTATCAGAGCTCTAGGTTTCTTGCCCATTAGGGTTTTGTGCCCCTTAGGGTTTTGTTCATTGCTATCCAACTCAACTCACTACTACCGACGCTGCCACCACCGACCACCGCCGCCGCTGCTGTTTTCCAATTACTATTCGTGGGTTTCGTCTAGCTGTCCTTCGCACCTTCGTCGCCGCCAGTCCCCGTGCGCTTCCGTCACCGCCAATTGCCTTCGCCCCTCTGCTTGTCGTGGGGTAGCACTTAGGGTTTCTGGTTTCAGAAAACAGCTGATCTGGTTCAAGCAGTCCAATTCAACCAGTTTGGTTTCAAGTGGTTTGGTTCATCTGGTTCAAGTTCGGTTTGGTCTAGTTCGTCACATTTCGGTTTGGTTTGGTTGATTTATACCGGTTTTGGTTCCGTTCGTTTGTTTCAATTCCATTGGTTTGGTTCACTTGGCTCTGTTCAATTGTTTTGGTTCGATTCTCTTTTCTCCTTCAGATTTGGTTTGGTCTGGTTCTGTCGTTTTGTTCAAATAAGTTCGTTTGTTTGTTATGGTTGAGAAGAAATCAATCGTAACTTCTGAGGTGATCCCAATGATATCAAAAATCACAGAACACAAGTTGAATGGACCACGAATAGATTATTTGTCTAACAAGTTGGGCATGATTAACATATATGCACCAACTTGAGGGGGAGTGTTAGAGTATGTAGATTAATATATTTTATATTCTTGTATTAATATTAATTTGTCATTTACCTTCTCCTTATAGGATTAGGTCAACCTTGTATATTTGTCTATATATATAGACTTTAATAATGAGGATACATTACATTGGATTCTCTCCAACCTTAGTCTCTACAGGTATTAATTTTTTTAAGGTAATTTATGCACTATATATATCATTTTTACTTATTTATTAAGGTGCGCCTCGCTTCAATCAGACGTCGGTTTTGTATCGCCTCTCGCCTCAAGGCGATCAAAAGGCTTGTCGCCTTACGGTGCACCTTGCGCCTCGAAAACAATGCTAATTATGTGGCTAGTTCCTCTCATTTTGCTAAGTCCTACTCTCCTACTTATTCCAATGAAAATTTTGAATTGCGAATGATAGTGTCTTTCCAAGAAAATAAACTATTAAATTAACAGAGGCAATTGTCTTAAAATGTATCCATATTCCAAAATTAAATTTTGTTAAATTATAGTTTATTTTATTTTAAAGGTTTCCTATTTTATTTAGGTTAGGGTTTTATTGTTCTAATAGGTAATTATTTCCTTATCCTAATAGGCATGAATTTTTTTTAGTTTCTTCCTTGTGACTGCTATTTATATAGCCTTGTATCAATCATTTGTAATAATCAAGGAAGAATTATTTTCTTTTCTTATCAATTAACATGGCATCAGAGCTATAGAGTTCCTCTAAAAATTTTGTGCAAATTAGAGTTTTGTGTCCATTAGGATTTTGTACCCATTAGGGTTTGAAGTTTTGAACATTTTCATTGTACCCAACCCACTGCATTACCGTCACCGTCGCTACCGCTCCCCGCCGCCGCTCGATTCCACCACCGTCGCCGTCGACACTGTCCTATTCGTGGATTCTGTTCGCAGGTTCGTTCGTGATTTGTAAATCGGGGTGCTGTCTTGCCGTGTTGCTTGCCGTCATTCGCACTTTTGTCGCCATCAGTCACTGTTCAGCATGTTGCCAGCTGCTCAGTGTGGTTGTCGTGAACATCTGTTAGGGTTTCTGCTTCAGAACATTTGTCGGTTCGGTCGATCCGGTTCAATCAACCGGAAGGTTCGGTTCATATAGTCTGGTTCAATTAATCCGGTTCAGCCAATTCGGCAGTTGGTTCGATTCTCTAAGTCCGGTTAGTCTGGTTCGGCTCCTTTAGGCTCGGTTCAATTCGTTGTTGGGCTGGTTCAGTGCTTTTCAATCTGGTTCAGTTCATTGTTGGATCATTTTGAAAGGTTTCAGTTTGTTTCAGTCAGATTTGGTTCGGTTCGGCATATTTTGGTTCGATTCAACTGGTTTTGATTCGGTTCAACCCTCTTTCGGTTCGGTTCAGTGCTGATTTTTCAGTTTTGTGCGTGGATCTCCATTTTTGAGTTGCTATTTAGTCTTGGTATCAATGTCACAATCGTCCAAAATTACAAAAAAAGTTGGACATACATGAGATCAAACAATTAAGGAGCTTCTTAAAAACTTTGGATAATGCTCCTAGTCAAGATACAGGTTCGGTAACTTTGACGAGTACAACTTCTCAGCCTAAACGTTGTACATGGATTATTGATTCTGGTGCAATAGACCATATGACGAATAGTAACTGTCATTTTATCTCTTATAGTATTTGTCCGAGCAATAAGAAAATTTTTACAGCATATGGTACCTTGGTAACAGTGGCTGGTCAAGGAGACATCAAGATAAATTCAAACATTACCTTAAAGAATGTGCTTCATATACCACGTTTAACTGTTAATTTGATATCGGTAAAGAATTTGATCAAAGATTTAGGTTGCAGAGTAATTTTTTTTATTCTTCTTGTATTTTACTGGGTCAGGGCAATGAGAAGATTATTGGACTTGTTAATGAAAAAGATAGACTTTATTATCTTAATGAACTTGTCGATCAGACTAGTGTTCCAGTGTCCTTCACCTTACAAACTCATCATCCTTCAAGTAAGCTTTTGTTGAATCATTATAGACTAGGACATCCTTCATTTTGAGCTCTTAAAATATTGTTTCCCAATTTATTCCAAAATCTTAATCCTGAGTCAATTTAATGTGAAGTTTGTGAATCACTAAAGACAAGCATGTACCCTTCCCTAGTAATAATAAACGAATATCAATTCCCTTCTCTCTTATTCATACTGATGTTTGGGGTCCCTCCAATGTTCCAAACGTTTCCAAATTTCGTTGGTTTATTGCGTTCATTCATGATTGTACTCGAGTCTCATGGGTTTATCTTTTAAAACAATCTGATATTGGTTCTACCATTCAAACATTCTTTCATATGATAGAAAACCAATTCGGAATCAAACCCAAACAATTCCGCTCTGACAATGCTCGAGATTACTTCAATCAAAACTTAACATCCTTCTTTCAAAAAAATGGAGTCATCCATGAGTCGTCTTGTGTGGACACTCCTCAACAGAATGGAGTGGCCGAAAGAAAAATTGGTTACATCCTTTATGTGATACGTGCCATGCTTTTTCAAAGAAATGTTCCTAAATCCTTCTGAGGGGTAACTGTGTTAACAACCATTTATTTAATCAATAGATTACCATCTGCTACTCTAGACCATAAAACTCCTATGAATATCCTATCAAAATATTATCCTGATTTTCGAACAACAAATAACTTGACTCCTCGAGTATTTGGTTGTGTAGCATTTGTTCATGTTCACAGTCATCAGTGAAGTAAACTTGATCCACGAGCACTCAAGTGTATTTTTGTCAGATACTCGAACACTCAAAAGGGATATAAATGCTATCATCCTCCTTCAAAAAGGTTATTCATCTCTGCTGATGTTACCTTTAATGAAGACACCAGCTTCTTTACTTCACCTTATCTTCAGGGGGAGGCACTATTATTGGAAGATAAGGATTTGCCCATTCCCAACCTCACATTTCCTATATCAAATCCTTTACCACCACCCTTAGACACCTTACCAGGACCATCTAACCCTGTAACTGAAATTGACGAGAAAATAATTAATGATGAATCAACATTATAGTATCTACTAATAATGAGTCAGACATTATAATATCTGCTAATGATGAGTCAGACCTGGATTTGCCGATTGCTTTAAAGAAGGGAAAACAGACTTATACTCAGTATCCATTGTCTCACTTTGTATCATATTACAAACTCTCAAGTCAGTACAGAAGTTTTATAGTTAACCTTACTCAGGTAAATATTCCAAAAACATATATGGAGGCAATACAACATGAAGAATGGAGGCAAGCAATGAATCTTGAAATGCAGGCTTTAGAAAAAAATAAAACATGGGAGTTGGTTACTATGCCTAAAGACAAGAAAGTTGTAGGATGTCGATGGATATATACTGTAAAGTATAAAGCAGATGAAACACTCGAGAGTTACAAAGCACGGTTGGTTGCTAAGGGATATACTCAAACATATGGAGTTGATTACCTTGAAATCTTTGCACCTGTTGCCAAGATGAACACAATACGAATACTTCTATCTCTTGTTGTAAATCATGGATGGGACATGTTACAATATGATGTAAAAAATGCTTTTCTACATGGTGATCTTGAACAAGAAATTTATATGGAGATTCCACCTGGGTATCAGCAAGCAGGAAATAAAGTTTGTAAATTAAAAAACGCGTTGTATGGATTAAAGCAATCTCCTAGGGCATGATTTGGTAGATTTTCTCAAGTAATGAGGAAGATGGACTAAACAAAGTCAAGGAGATCATACATTGTTTAAAAAACATCCTGCTATAGGGGGAGTAACAGCATTGATTGTTTATGTGGACGATATTATCATCACTGACAATGATAATAATGAGCAAGATAAACTGAGAAATTGTTTAATCCAAGAGTTTGAAGTTAAAGAACTGGGAAGACTGAAATATTTTCTTGGGATAGAAGTAGTCTATTCTAAACAAGGCATATTCTTATCACAACAGAAATATGTGATTGACTTACTTTCTGAAACAGGAAAGCTTGGCAGCAGACCAAGAAGAGAGTCCTCTAGTAAATAAGGAAACTTACTAGAGGTTAGTTGGAAAATTAATATATCTTTCTCATACGAGACCAGATATTACGTATGTTTTAGGAGTGGTAAGTCAATTTATGCATAGTCCAAAAGAAATTCATCTTCAAGCTGTGTACCGAATACTCCACTATTGAAGAACTTCATTAGGAGAGGATTGTTGTTTAAGAAAGGCGAGAAACTCAATCTAGAAGTTTATACAGATGCAAATTATGCAGGATCGACAAACGATAGAAAATCCACTTCTGGCTATTGTACTTTCTAAGGTTGACATGGAGAAGTAAAAAACAAAATGTAGTTGCAAGATCAAGTTCAGAAGCGGAATTTAGAGCAATGGCATTGGGCATCTGCGAATTACTGTGGATAAAGATTATTTTAGAAGATTTGAAGATTCCATGGGAAGGGCCTATAAAACTTTATTGTGATAACAAGTCTGCCATCAGTATTGCACATAATCCGGCTCAACGTGATAGAACCAAGTATGTTGAAGTTGATAGACACTTCATAAAAGAGAAGTTAGATAGCGGCCTCATATGTACACCATTTGTACCAACAAACAATTAAATAGCAGATATTCTTACAAAAGGATTGAACAACAACTTTGAGCATTTCGTTAACAAGCTGGGAATGGAAAATATTCATTCACCAGCTTGTGGGGGAGTGTTAAATTATAGTTTATTTTATTTTAAAGATTTCCTATTTTATTTAGGTTAGGGTTTTATTGTTCTAATAGGTAAGTATTTCCTTATCCTAATAGACAAGAATTTATTTTTAGTTTCTTCTTTGTGACTGCTATTTATATAGCCTTACATCAATCATTTGTAATAATCAAGAAAGAATTATTTTCTTTTCTTATCAATTAACAAATTTCTTGATCCCAACTTTATTTAAAAGTGTTGATTGTTTCAGTGTGAATGTTGCATTTTAGCAACAAATCCTCGCTCTACATATTCTCCAAAATCCTATAAGGCTTCCAAATCATTTTATTTAATTCATATGGATCATGGGGCCTTCTAAAATTTTGACTCATTGTGAAAACGTTTGTTTATTACTTTCATCAGTAATCACACATGCTTATCTTGTTACTTTTATATTAACTTGAGTAGATTTCGGAGATAGTTTCCTTATTTTGTAATGGGCCTCACCTTTACTCAGGGAGACCTTGATTTCTTGTTTGGGAAGAAAAATAACAGTTCTCTCAAAATTAATCACCATGGCCACAAAAAAGTTAAGCTCGATCTTAGAGGAAGTAAACAATAATGCCAGCAACAACAACAAAACTGCTTTCTAAATCATTAGACATAACAGTCCATGGAGGGAATTATCTTCAGTTCTTCTTATGTAGTTATGTTTATTTGTAGAAGGTGGTTTTCATGGAGTTTTGTTTATCTTTGACTAGAACAAGAGAACATCAAAGTAGTTATTAGCTAGTTGCCACAAGAGCATTCAATGCATGGAGAAATGCAGTTTTTTTGGAAAGATCAGTAGAGTTTTGCAATTAAAATTACCTCTGAAACAAAGGGCGTTCTGCAATCCGAAGAAACGAGATAAGTCTGTCAGTCAAACTCATTGCGCTGCGTAGACCACCCCAGAGTAAAGCAATTCTGCCCACTAGCTTCAGTATGCCACCCTTCTGACCTAAATCAGCTAACATAGCGACTACCCTGTTTGGAAAGGGAAAAAATTCTTAAGAGAAAAAAAGAGAAGTACATAAAAAAGACGTGTATAACATTCATTTATTGCCAATACCTTTCTTGATCCACTTCACCATCTTCCTTCGTTGGCACAACTGACATTGCCTTCTCAGCAAGAGCAGTGACAATGTTATGATTTTTTTCAGGCTCCAGCCTTTCTGGCTCTTTCTGAAGACTAGTTATATCCTTGGACTTAAATGAACTTTCAGTAGTTCTATCAGCTTCGCATGAATTCTGCATGTTTGTTTTCAGCAACACATATAAAGCACAAATACAAATACAACGGTATTCATATCGAGTTTAATATACACAACTAGCGAGGAAATAGTAAAAAAGCACTAGTCCCAATCCCAAGGATAATATGTTGAAGTACTAATCAGTGTCAATTTTAAATTTATGGAACAACATAATTTTCTTCTTCAGTGCTCAGTAGTTTTGACTAGCAGCAACATAATGCCAGAACAAAGGAAGAGATTTAAAAAGTGAACATGGAACAACAAGAAGCTATGCATTAAGGGCAAGTATGTATACTTTCATGGTTTTTTGGTTTGAAAGAGAGAAGGCCAGAAAAGGCTACAACAAAGGGCAAACTACACATAAGCAGCACAAGTGCACAAAAGAAAAATACACTGTAAAGCCTGAAAAGGGTGACTTTTTATTACTTAGTCAAAGTATTTTTAATCCTTGTAGTTATGTTGCCCAATTGAAAAAATATGATTCGGGATTTATTCAAATCAAGTTGTAAAAGGCAATACAAAAAATAAAAAGTTCCAAGCAACATATACCTGCTGCTGCTGATGTACCAGTAAAGCAGATGCCCCAAGAGCAGCTGTAACAGCTTCTACCATAACAGTACCTTTATTTAAATTTCTCGTTTCCGCTCCTACCCCACAAACTGTATTGGTCAGTGTAACATTTGGAGTGGGCTCTCCCCCATTATTAACTTCAACATGATTTCTTTCCCCAGATTTCTTGGCTTGATCAACAGCCAAGCATTCTCCCTGGTTATCGTCGTGCAGTGTAGTCACATGAAAAGATTTTCTTAATGCTGCCAAGCTAGAGCCAACGATAACACCTAAAGGCAGAATTTTTTTCAAATAGACAGTTTCCTGAACAGCAGATGAAATTGATGTAATAAGCTGCTCGCTACAAAGAGTACCCATTTTATCTGCAGTGGAAGCGATGCCGTCGTTTTTACATCCTATCCATTGCCTACGGCCACTGTCATATACAACAGCCACTGACAACACATTTGCAACATGTTCAATGTCTCTGTTAACACCCAATTGTAAGTCCTTGTTAGCTGCACTCAACCTCCGACCAACTTCAACCTGCAAGCTTTCCAATATAATAGTTCTAACAAAATATTCCAAATCTTTTGATCCGTCATTACCTTCAATTTCTTCGTTTCCATTAACCGTTGTTTGATATTCCCCAACTGGCTTTGGCTGATTTTCACCATCTAAGATTATATACAGTGGCTCAATAGCATCATCAGTATTCTTCAATTTTGCATGTGAATTCGAGTGGACTTGTCCATCCACTCCTTCACGTGTTGAAATAGCATTTTCATTTTCCGGTTGTTCAATGAATTTCCACTGACCTTCTTCTGGAATATAATCGAGCAACAAATCTGTAGTTGTATCCATATCAAGTGATCTAGTAGGCATGTTCGGGGCAACGTATTTCAAGAAAAAATTATTGTGAACAGAATCCAAATGCAAATTTGAAGTCATATATAGTGGTATGTTATTTATCTCCGCATTACCCTCCAAATCATGAAGGAGTTTATCCTTTCCATTTCCATCCTCGCCTGCTTGGGCAGCTGACTGAGATCTAATCAAATAGTTCCCATTAATCGAGACCGGCTCTTGAGTGAATTCCTCCTCTTCCTGTCCACTTGTTACATCATTCTCGGAGTCTCCTTTCCTCTCCAAGATATTATTAATACCAGGACCACTTGGCCTTTTAGGCTTTACAGATGAGTCCATGTTACCACGTTCTTTCTTCTCTGGTGGCATATCATCATGTGAGCAATGATTGTCCAATAAGGACTCGGTCTTATTGTCCTCACCTTCATTTTCTGAACCCTCCAACTGTGAAATCATATTCTCAATTACATTAAATACACTATTGACTGCAACCTGGGTGGAATCATCAATCCCTGCGAAGGCATCCAAAGCCTGAGAAACACTAAAGTTGTTGACATTTGATTCGGAAATGACAGGTTTAGTATGTTCTACAACAGGTTGCATATTTTTATCATCTTTCGGATTATATTCCGGTTCTACTGGTGCCTCTGAAGTAGACCCTGGAGATGAAGGTGCTTCCTCCCTTTTCAAAGATGACACCACCTTATTATCATTTGAAGGATCTAGAGCTTTCTCTTCATTTTTCTTGGGTATATTCTCTTCCTTGTCATCTAATTGGGCAATTCCACCACCCCGGTCTTCGTAATTATCACCAATTGCTACAACATGGCTACTTATCTGTTCAGCCTTGCTCGGAAATTTAGGCTTCACACCTATATCTAGTTCTTTCTCACTATTATCAAGATACTGGGCAGTATTTTCCCTAGAAAAGTCATCACTAGGATCAGGATTACTAGAGTCACTGGTCTCCTTCCTGATAGAACCGGTAGTATCATCATCATTCATACCAACTGCTTGAGAACCATCTTGATCAATAGAATTTTCGTGTTTATCAGAGGAAGAAGGCTTAGATTCTAGTTCCCCAGTAAACTTGTCCTTGGTAGGTTGATAGCTATCAGAGACATCTGAAACATCATTAATATATCCCGTCTGATGCAAAGGGGAAGCAATATGTGAGGAACCTTCAGCATCCGGCACATGTCGGACCTTCTTTTCTGTCTTTTCTTTTAGATCTAATGTGCTATTGGATTTATGAGAAGTACCAACTAAATCCTTGAACTTTAAGTTTGATCCTTGAGCATGCAATATTCCAGATACAGCAGTCGTAAGCTTTCCACGGACTTCTTCCGGTACAGCATCTTGCAGAGCTTTAATCAATGTTTCTCCTTTATCCACTGCATTCAAGACCTGAACAAAGAGGCAGCAGAACTTCTTAAAAATGGATGGCTAACAGAGTCATAGAGGAGCCAGCAAAATCTAGCTTCATTGCCTTTTCTTTTTTTTTAATTGGAAATGGAAATATGTAGTCATGGACTCAGTCCGAAAAAAGAAGAAAAACTTGACAAAATACAAAACATATTCATTCTTCAAAAATCATGAACGAAGAAAGCTTCACATTTTTTTACTACAGGAGATTAATTAACACCTACTCCTTCCCTTGAGGTCAGAGATTCAAACCCCCCGTCCCCCAATTGGTTGTACTAAACAAAAAAAAGAAAGATACATGGGTTCTTATTTTTATAGAAGTACATGTTAGATATATAGATTATTCTTCTATATTGAATAGCACAGAAAAGTCTTAGATAAACAGCAGACCTGGGTTTACAAAAGGTAAAAACAACATATAAAGGTAATGATGTGAAAGTCAGCACTAACACTAAATTTGTAACTATACAATCTTTTTTGCAACTGTAAAAAAAAAAAAGTGTGTAAAAGAACAAAGGGTTTGGCCTACAATACAGTAGGCCAAGAGGCTTTGTGTTCAACAATAAATAATTTAATACTACTTTCTCACATGAATGCTTGTTGCGTGACATCTCAATCATCAGCTAAACAGTAATATAGTATCAAAACAAAATTAAATTTGTAAATAAGCTTAACATGAATGCCATGAACTTTTATTGGAATGCTCTCCATCCAACAAATATTATTGATATTAAATAAAAAAAAATAACAAAAATAAGAGGAAAAGTGCATGATAACGAGGGCAAAAAAGTTTTCGAACTTCCCCAGTTTCCCCCTGTTTCATGCACAATATGAGATTTAAAATAAAATTAGATAAATAAATAAATCAAATGTGAAAGGTCATTTATTCACACAACATAAAGCGTAAAGAAAGGATGAAGGTTATCATAATTTAGAACTTTAGACAGTTGAAGAAACCAGCAATTTTAACAGAATGAATGAGAAGGCTGTCTAGTATTACCTTTTTCTTCTCTTCCTCTGTCAGAGTGCCAGGGTTAGTTATCTCAAGCATATTCATAACCACTTCAGCTGTCCGTAACACTTGACCTTTTTCAGTATGTTCTGAACTGACTTCGTCCTCTTTCCCCATATCTGCACTAACAGAGCTAGTTTGGTGCAAAACCCCAACTTCAATTTCTAGAGATCCCTTATCCTCAAGTTGTGATTTGCTCTGCGAGTAATTTTGAGATCTTAGGTGAGTACGGCTACTACTGTGACTCTCTTCAAGGTTCTTCTTGCTGAAGCTTGTTGAGTAATATCCACTTGAAGCATTTGACCAGTTGTAATCTAGTTGCCTGATGACTTTTCCTCTTTCTTCAGCTGTTCTGCCTTCCACGACAGCTAAGCCTCTTGAAGAGTTGATGGCAATATCTACATCCTTGAGAAGAGGGTGACGACCTTTCAAGAGTCCCAGCTCTACAGCTGTAAGCCACTATGTGTATACACTAATTAGAATATGGCGAGGAGAGATGCACCGTAACTCCACATTTTTCCTACCAAAAAGGTTTTTGGTAGAATTAAATTGTGGAAAAGACATTCAAAATCCGAACCCTATGAATCAAGAGAAATAGAGAACCAACAAGACTCTTTGTTGTGTGAAACTGTGAATAGTAAGAAATTACTGGCAGGTGCCACATACCTTCAAATTTATCGGATAAAAACGAAGAGGAAGGTGAAGGCTAACAAGGAGACAAGTTTCACTCTCTACATCAAAGGGTATGATATATTTGCTTTCAGGTTAAAAATAAATGGAAGTTTCCAATTAAAACACTACTTTAAGTGCAAACCATGATTTTTTTAGTTATCAGGGTCCTTACGTGAATTATGGAGAACTCTCAGCAGAGTAGAGAGGAAGATGTCAATTAATGCTGACCATTATAATAACAACATCAACCATTTATCTACTTCAAATAGGGGTGAGCATTGGTCGGTCGGGGTCAGTTTTTGACCAACCCCGATGCCGAAAACCGACCTAGTCGATTTCCAAATCTGGAAACTGAGTTTTTTAACAATCTCTGCGCCGGCTAACCGGCCATCAGTTTCGTCGGTCGGTGTTTTTGGAAAACAGACACTCAAAAATTAAAAAAAAAAACGAAGGGACAGGGACCGTGGGCTATGAAACGGGGGAGACGATAGTGAGGGTGGGATGCACAATGAGAAATGGGAGGAAGAAAAGAAAAGAATGGGAGAGATGGAAGTGGAAGAAAAAAATAAAAGAACTGAGGAGAAAGGAGGAAGAGAAGACAAGAATGGAGGGGAGGGAAGAGAGAAAGAAAGTGGGAGGATGTCAGAGAAGTTGATAAATTAAAATATTAAAAAAAAAAAAGGTGCCTCAAAACCAACGGCCATTAATGGCCGCTGGTTTCCAAAGCTGTTGCAGTCCTAGACTGCAGTAGCACGGCAGACTGCATTTAATGCAGTATGCTCTTGTTCTTTTTTTTAATACTAAATACAATGAATCGTTCGGTCGGTCGGAAAAGTGGTTTTCCAATCAAACCGACTGACTAAAAATAGATTTTTTGTTATGGAAAACCGATTCCAACGAAATTGTCATCAAACCGACCGACCAACGTCAGTCGGTCAATTTTGGTCGGTCTGATCGATTTTTCGGTTTCCTATGCTCACCCTAGCTTCAAATGAGGTGCTTTCATTTTCAGCTAGGAACCACTAAATTCGTAGATGAACTCAAAGTTCTATAAACATTAAGTGAGGTTGAGAAGTTCTAACATGTACATTTCAATCCCCTAAAATGAAATAAAGTAAGTTAAATTCAACAAATCTGAGTGAAGACCAACAATTGACTCACCATATATTGGCAGACAATGTAATAAGTTAACTTGTTACAAGCTCACAGAGAGAAAATATTCATTACCTCAACTGATAACTTCTGGCACCAAGATAGAACAGGTTGCATGCTAGAGATAACACTAGGCGGCGAATAAGAACACAACAGAAGACTTGTAAATGGATTTTCTGCTATTAAATTGCGTGGAATTGAGAATATTGGAGCTGATCCATTGTCATTCTGATAATTTCAACAGTTTAACCAGTTATAAAACTGATTTGTTTGTATGTGTGAGAAAGAAGTGGTGAGGGAAGAGATGTCAACTATCAAACAAATATAACTCATTGAAAACAGAACTACTTTAAACATGAAATGGTAAGATGTTTTATCGCGTACAAAGTCTCTGCATTTTCAATCATATTAAAACATTAACTTTTTTTTCGCTAAGTCATCTATTTAGGATGCCTTAATAATGAAGTGAACTTATTTTACTCCCGCAGATACAACAATGCTGTAAAAATAGGAGAGACCTGGCTAATTTTTTAATATTCGTTATTATTATTTAGCTTACATACAGAGTCAAAACAGTAAACTTCAATTGAACTAGATTTTAAAAATGATTTCACTTTCCAAAATCTCATTAGCCGTGGTGTTTTTTATTCTTAAAATTGTCAAATAAGTAATAATACATTACAATGGGACGGCAAGATTAGAATTTTATGGATATGTATACATAAATAGAATATAGAACTTGTAAAATCTACCATATCTTTTCATCATTTTAATAGCAGAACTTAAAGAAAAACCCATGTAAAATATGCACCTGGATATAAAGAACAGGGATTTTCACATTCCCAACCACACTCCTTGTGCTTGATTTTGAGTAGAAATCTTCTATAGAATTAAAACCATGAGATACACTAGATATTAATTTTTCAAAATCCCGTACAGATTTAGCTTTGAGAGCCTTTTCCACATCGAAGCCTTTTGTTTTGCCTTGAAATAGTTCCTGCAGATTGAAAAAGTCATCTAGCAACAACAGTTACTATCAGTATCCAGTAAGAAACTACAACCACAAAGCCATAGGCATACATTGCCACACAATACAAAGCATACTTCATTGAGCAAAAATACAATGGAAGTTTCATATCTTCATAAACATTGAACTATATTTAAATGAGGGAACAAGCAGGTGCAGGAAAAACAAACCTTATTAGATCTCAGAATATTAATCAGTCCACCAGTGAGGTCTTGATCAATAGCCATGTGATATGGAGGGGTGTGGGTGGCCTCCTCTAAGTCGAAGGGATTGTCAATGCATGTTGCAGCAGTAAGTGGTGTTCTCTCACCGACTTCTGCCAGGTACTTGGTCAACATGTTTGCACCATACCCCCAGCCAATGGCCATCAACGCTGTCCAAGGCCTTGCATTACTAATGAACTGTACAGCTGTGTAGATATCATCGCTGTCAGCAGCTGAAAACAACCTACATAAATAGAGTAATTAAGGAGTTCTACTATCAGTTTCTTTTTTCTCTACCTCACATGAGAAAGTATGAAATCAGATAGTCACTGTATTTAGAAACCCCAGTGCAATTTCTGAAAATCACTCTCATTTCTCCATCTCTCTCTCCATAATCTTTCCTTGTTTCTTTTCATTCTTTTTTTTCCGTTTTGGGTGGAGGAGGAGGGCACTAGGGGGTGGCGAATGGTTCTCATTCCACACAGCCCTAAAGACCAATACTTCATTTGGATCAGGTCTTTTGTATGAAGGGGACAGAAACCTAACCAATTTTTTTTTTTTTTAAAATGACCCAAGGTAGCTAGAACAAGGAAATAGAAGACTTCAACCATCAAATCAAATAGGAAAGTGTGCATCATACTTCTACCATACACATTGGTCCACCTTCTGGTGCATTCTATTTAATATGCCCAAGTAATCCACAATAGTAGGCCTCTCATCCCTTCGTATTTCCTTCTCAAAATATTTTCTTCCCTTGAAATTTCCGCCAAAACTTTCCGCTCCATGATTTTCCTCCATTCATAATGCCATTTCTACATCTTTTTGGTGAAAAAGAACGTGTTTTTGTTCTTTTGGGTAGGTTCATGAGGAAACAACTAAGAGAATCATCTCGTGATTCAAATGGGCTATTCATTCGTCATTCCCGTATCCATAGAACCAGAATCACACTAAGGAAGCCGTTTGAATGGTTTATAAGGCTTACCTTGGTGTACTTCTGTTATGAAGTACACTAGGGAGTGTTTTTATTATATGTTAGATGGTTGTTTTAATGTATCTTGACGATCTAAGTTACACCGAGGATGCCATCTAACTGGTGTGGTAGATGTAGCTGTCAATGTCGACCAAGACCTACAATAACTACACTAGACTTCCTTCGGTATCTCAATGACCAAAAATCGCTTAGAAAACCATCTAAATGCTTATATTAGTGTACTTCCATTATCAAGGTATACTAAGGAGGCTTTTCTAGCAATACTCAAGTAGCAAAGAAATGAGTTTCTCACTAAATGTTCTCCCGTCTCTCCCTATCTTGCTGTTGCTCATTTAGTCTTGCCCTCAACAATGCTCCAGCTAACCCGCCTTCTTCTCCTTCTTGCTGTGACAAGATGACAAGGCCATTCTGAAATGCCCAAACGAAGAGCTAGCAAGACTCCTTTGTACGAACAAAGGTTGGGTAACTTTCGGTGCATTGACTCTTAAGGTGGAGAGGTGGAACAAGGAAAGACACGAGTTTAGCACAGTGGTCCCATCATATGGGGGGTGGTTAAAGTTCAGGAATATCCCTCTGCATTTATGGAGTGAAGAACTCTTTCGGAAGATAGGTGACACTTTCGGAGGTTTTATTGAGTTTGCCGATTAGAATGCCACGAGAATTGAATGTATGGATGTTGCAATTAGAGTTAAAGGAAATTATTGTGGCTTTATCCCAGCTGGTATCAAGATACAAGATGATGGTTTGTTTTTCCTAGCACAGACAGCGACCTTCGAAGATGTCAAATGGTTGATAGGAAAGGAAGCCAAAGTCCACGGCAGTTTCTCACCGGAAGCAGCTGCAAAGTTTCACGGAGGTCCGGCGGTGAAACCAAGCCCTAGCTCATAGACCTTTGGAGAGTTGAAGATGGGTTCTTTTACCCAACAGTTATTGCCTCCCCCTTTTTGGTAACAGACTGCACAACCTCGAGACACACCATGACAAAGACAACAGAAGCAACTGAGGTACAAAAGCACAGTTTTCAAATAGGACCCACTGACGCGCCCAGAAGGCCAGAGACCAATTTTGGAAAAAACAGCCGTTACAAGCAAAAGGCTTCTGAACCTATCACTAAAGAGGCGTTCTAAAAAAAGGTATAAGTACTTTAGCAACAGAGGCCACACAACAACCGAGAAGGGTCGTTTTTAAAAAAGGACAAAAGGGCTCACCAAATTTCAAGAAAGGGATAGTTTTTACGACGGAAGAGGAAAGTCAGGAGAAGAGAAAGCAAACCAGAAATGCAGAAATCGCTGAGAACGCTAAGAAAAAAGGCAAACAATTAGAAGTGTCATCAGAATCCTCCTGGTCTAGTGAGGAATGCCCAAGACCAGAAAGTCCCCCTGTTGAGAACTTCTCTTCAGAAATACCAGATGGATACTTTAGTTGCTTTGAACAGTCCATAGAGGATCCTCTCGAGGAACAGAGTACAGAGTTAGTAGTAGCTAATCTTGAACTATCAGAAAGTCAACCACCAGAGGCCCCCGACGAGGATAAGACAGAGGAAGAAGAGGAAAGGTGCAAAGATCCCACCACTCTTAAGGTTTTTTCCTTTACGAAAAACATGGTGATGGAGCTGTGGGAGCACAATATGTGCATTAGACCCATTCCCAAAAAGGGGAAGGCTTCTGGAAAGGGTAATAATGTGAACTCTTCCGACAGCAGAGAGGTTAGAAATTTGCTTGCTACTTAGGAGAATGAAGCGATATTAGCTAAGCAGAGTATAGATACGGGTCCCTCCGTTTCTAAATGAAGATCGTCTCTTGGAATGTGAGAGGATTGGGTGCGGCCTCAAAACGTGCCCTCGTGAAGGATCTGATCCAGAAATCGGATCCAGATCTAGTTTGTATCCAAGAAACAAAGAAGAGCTCTATCGATCGGTGGCTGGTTAGATCCATTTGGAGCTCTAGACACGTGGGTTGGTTTTCACTTGATGCGGAAGATATATCAGGGGGTATTTTAGTTCTTTGGAATGAGCAAAAGGTCTCTGTCTCTAGTCCGGTGACGGGCTCTTTTACCATTACTCTACAGTTTAGTTTGATTGATGGCAGGAACGGTTGGTTTACAGGGGTCTATGGCCCTTCTTCCATTAGAGGTAGAGCCGACTTCTGGAGGGAATTAGAAGATTTGGCAGGCTTATGCCAAGGTGCTTGGTGCATCGGTGGAGACTTTAATGTGGCTAGATGGCTTTCAGAGAAACAGTGCAGGAATCAAGGTCGTATCACTCGAAGTATGAAAGATTTTAATAATCTTATAGAAGGTCTAAATCTAGTGGACCCTCCCCTTGTCAATGGTTCCTACACGTGGTCCAATTTCAGAGACTCCCCGACTTTATCAAGGTTTAGACAGATTCTTACTTTCTAAAGACTGGCTGGATGTTTTTGTAGATCAGCGAGCTAGTAGACTGTATCGAACTACTTCGGATCATTTCCCTATCCAGTTGGCATCTGAGGATTCCCGCTGGGGCCCCACTCCTTTCAGGTTCGAGAACGCTTGGCTAGATTCTCCCCAGTTACTCCCTTTGGTTGAATCCTGGTGGAACGATCACCCTATGACAGGTTGGCCTGGTTATGGCTTTATGGAAAAATTAAAAGGCCTAAAGGGAGCCCTCATCCGCTAGAACAAGGAAGAATTTGGTCACATTGGTATACAAAAGACGGAAGTGGCGAGATCAATCAATAATATAGATAAGAAAGAAGAAACTCAAGGCCTTTCTCCCGAAGAGATTTGTAGAAGAGAACATCTAAAAGTTAAGTTAATGGAAATTATCATTAAAGAGCAACGTATGTGGATGCAGAAAGGGAAAATCAGATGGTTGGAAGAAGGGGACGAAAACTCCCATTTTTTCCATAGATGGACCTCACACAAGAAGAATAGGGCTTATATTGGTGAACTAACTTCCACTCACGGTCGAAAGTTATTTTCAGAGGAGGAGATAGTGGATGAAATTCTCAAGTATTACGAGGGGTTATACTCCATGACAGTAGACAGGTGCCACATGATTGAAAATCTGAATTGGTCCCCCTTACAACAAGCTCAAAGACTCCAGCTCGAAGATCCTTTTACAGAAGAAGAAATTAAGAGGGCTGTGGCAGACTTGGGCACACTCAAATCTCCAGGTCCGGACGGGATGAGCAACGAATTCATGAAAAAGGCATGGAACATTTTCAAGCCTGATATTTTGAAGGTGTTCCATGATTTTTTTGAGAACGGAATTGTCAACAGAAGGACAAACGAAACTTATATTTGCCTTATTCCTAAAAAGACTCATCCAACTTTGGTGAAGGACTATAGACCTATCAGCTTGGTTACTTCTCTCTACAAAATTTTGGGAAAAGTTCTAGCGAGTAGGCTCAAAAAAGTCCTCCCCCTCATTATTCATGACACACAGGCAGCTTTTGTGGAAGGAAGACAGATCCTAGATGCCATCCTAGTAGCCAAAGAGTCGATTGAAGTTTGGAAGAAGGAAAAGAACAAGGGGCTCCTCATCAAATTAGACTTTGAGAAAGCATATGACAAAGTAGATTGGACCTTCCTTGACGCCGCTCTTCAAGCGAAAGGGTTCGGTCTTAAATGGCGTTGCTGGATTCAAGGCTGCCTTTCATCTACAAACTTCTCAGTGATCATTAATGGCAGACCACGAGGTAAGATATTGGCGAAACGAGGGATCAGACAAGGGGATCCCCTCTCACCGTTCCTTTTTACTATAGTGGGAGATGCCTTGAGTAGGCTAATTCACTTTTGCAACGAAAGRAGAATTCTTAGGGGTTTTTCCTTAGGCTCCAATGGTCTTGAAGTGACTCATCTCCAGTATGCAGACGACGTGTTGATKTTTAGTCMTTTTTCTCACAAGAATATGGAGAATTGGTGGGGAGTTGTTCAAATCTTTCTTCAGMTGTCARGCCTCTCTCTAAATATAGCTAAGACAGYCGTGATTGGTGTCAAYTGTAACGTTTCTKAAGTCAATTWTTGGGCAAATACTCTCGGATGCAAGGTGGAATCACTTCCATTCATGTATCTGGGTTTTCCATTAGGTGGTAATCAACGTAAACAGAGTTACTGGGAGGCAGTGGTAGACAAGATGCATAAAAGG